AGAGAGAGAGAGAGAGAGAGAGAGAGAGAGAGAGAGAGAGAGAGAGAGAGAGAGAGAGAGAGAGAGAGAGAGAGAGAGAGAGAGACTCAGATTGTGTTGTGCCAGCAACGTTTTCTGAATCCGGTGCAGACCTGCATTCAGATTCAAAACAGGAGTTGAAGTGGATGATGGTGCCCATGTGTTGGGCCAAAAACTGGCCGTAGCGTGCAGACTTGGGCCACGCCGCTTCGGTTTGGACTCGGATCTCGGATTTTCGGATTTGGGTCCCTCACGCCTTTTCAACTATTTGGAGGACCACGGCCAGCTACCGGTCCTTCATCTACAACAACTCCGTGTTTGCGTTGAACAACTGCCCAGGCCCTGACATTCCCCGCACAGTTTGCAGCCCGTTAGGGGTGCGTTTTCCCCCCCTGAGACATTTCCCCACCGAAACATTTTTATCGTCCTTCGTTATACCGGTTGTTGATTCGTTTGGTCATTGGAAGGTTCGAAAAATGCAGGCAGGTGCAGGCACGACACTTTGGGGGGTGGTGGCAGTTTCTTTGAAAATTGCGGGACCGGTAGCGGCCCGTGGGACCACGCGCTGAGTTTTGGTCGAAACGGTGGCAAAGCAGCGTCAGGGTGGATCTTTGGGGGGTGGTGGAAATTTCTTTGAAAAATGCGTGACCGGTAGCTGCCCGTGGGACCGCGCGCTGAGTTTTGGTCGAAACGGTGGCAAAGCAGCGGCAGGGTGGAAAAGTGGAAAAGTCTGAATCGGAAAGGGCGTGGCCTTGGGCGCAGGTTGAAACGACACACCTGCATTGCATTTGCAAGTGCAAACAGATGTGCCCCACACGTTCAGCGCCCGATTGAGTGAGTCACATATGACAACACAACTTTTATTTAATAAAAAAAAAAAACTTACAACAACAAACACTCAAGCACACACATATACGACATATGGACCAAGATTCAAGGACCACCAGCCTGGACACCAACTATGAATCAAAGTATGTCAAATATCTAATACATTAATACCTTACAAATTACCTAAATCCCACACATTCCAACACTAACAGATGTGATAAACACAAACACCCTAAGTATCACACAAACACACACACACACACACACACGCACTAATCTTGACACATACACATAAATACTCCTTTCTTTTCATGCAACAATCACCCCACTTCTAAACCTCACCAATAACGCCTCCTTCATCAATCAAGCATATACAAACTACGGGCTGCGCACCCGTACCCTCACGGTAAGTCAATACTTTGACCGCCCTTCCAACAATCATTGGGCCCGTACAACCGGTATAACGAAACGATGACGAAAACGACTACTCTAGCGTAGTGTATAAACGCACTTCCCCCACCCCCATCAGGTAACAGCAGTGTCTGTGGCCAGCACTCCCCCCCACACATAGCGAGGCCCTTTCCTTTTTTTTCCTTCCTTTATCCTCTTTTTTACTTCACCTTTCACTATCTACCTACCACTACTCCTAAGCCTCTACAGGGGGTGTGCTAGGAGTATTGACGTGAGGATGGGATGGGAGGTGGTCTCATATTCCTGGACACCCGTGGCTCACAGCTCCAAGTGATCACTGTGCACTCAGTGACTGGCCTCTACAACACCTTGGACTTAAACCACTAGTACCTTCGCCGCTTGGGAAAATAGCGGGCCTCGGGTAGGCGTCCGACCTTTTCAGAGGCCGAAACGAAACGATGGCCGCCGATCAGATTTATCAATGGCAGTCGTCGTAAAATTCAGGCGATTGGGAAAACAGCCAGTTTTCCCTATTTTCCCACGTGGAAAAAAAAAAAAAAAAAGCCTCTACAGGGGACCCCTGCAAGCATAGCTACCTCTTGCATCTTGTCCCCCGACCTAATCGGCGGTGGCCAGGGAGTAGGGTAGGGCCGCCGGTGGGGTGGGGGCGGGGGGGGCGGATAACGCAAAGACCGAGCATTTTGCCAGTAGCTGCCCCTCCCATCTACTTCCCCCCGTAGCGAGGCCCTTTGGGACATTGCCGCTAAAAAAAGAAAGCAAAAAAACACTGCCGATGTCTTCGTGCGAGCGCCTGGACCACCACACTATCGAACGCGCGGACGACCTACACGTCCGTCCACGTCCGGCCTCCCTTAGCCCAAGCCACCCCCCTTTCCCCCCCCCCTTCCCCTCCCTTCCCCCCCTCTCTACCCTCTCGAATGAGCCAATGTTTTGGCGGAAACGTGCAGAGGGACTGGGGGCGGGAGGGGCAGCGGGCGACCTGAAAACCCACTTCTGCAGTTTTCCAGGCCGACGACTGCGGCCCGGCAATTGGGACGCGATTTCCCGTCGGCGGCACTTCCAAACGTTCCAAACCGGCCAAGCTGTGAGGTTCAACTCTGAATCTCTCCACGTTTGAGGGGAAAATACATTCGCGATTTCATATTCATACATCAGGTGAGTGGTTCAGCGATTCGCTACGCCATTCCCTGTGTCCATTCTTTCTGAGTTCCGATTATCATCTCTTCTCCTCCGAACGAAGTATCACTTCATTCACTATCTGCGCTTGACACGTGTAACCCTAGTGCAGCTGTACCTTCTTCCCTCGTCCCTGCATCTGTGCAATTTCTGTTTTTTTTTTTTTTTTTTTTTTTTTTTTTTTTTTTTTTTTTTTTCTGTGCAAATCTTGCAACGTCGTGCACGCCCTTCTAGAGCGAGCGATATTGCTATTGCTATAGCATACTCGCTGCCGGGACACGGGCACGTCGGTACGTCGGTGTGTTTGCCTGTTGGCTGACCATTGATTGACACCATCGCCGGAGACCAGAGCTGTATTGCTGACCATTGATTGACACCATCGCCGGAGACCAGAGCTGTATTGCTGACCATTGGTTGACGCCATCGCCGGAGACCAGAGCTGTATTGCTGACCATTGATTGACACCATCGCCGGAGACCAGAGGTGTATTGCCGTCAAGCGATGGGGGGGGAAGACACGGGGGAGGAGCATGATAACCCCTTTCCCCCGCTAGGGCGCGCGGCCTCTCCCCCTCCGCCCTCCCCCTCTACGCCAAATAGGTCGGAAGGGGGAAAGAAGCAAGCATGGGGTCAGGAAGATAGCGGCGCCGGCGGCTGCATCTCCATGGAGGGGAAAGGAAAAGTAGGCCAGACTTTGGCAGATATCGTGAGGAAGGACACTCCCCCAGAGAGTAGAGGAGATTTCACTGCCTCCAGGGCTAAGAGCCGCCACCAAGAGCTGCTAGCGGAAGACTTGCCGGCGGCGGCGGCGGGAAAAGCGGCAGCAGATGCTACTGCTATTTATGCACGCGATGGCGGCGGCTTGCGGCAAGAAGGAGCAGCAACTGCAGCAGCAGCAGGAGGAGGAGGAGGTGGAGGAGGTGGAGCGGAGGTTGCATCGACACGTGGCTGGTCGACGAGGGCTCCGATCCAATCATTGGCCGATCAAAAGGCGCCAATCAAGACGCTGGTAGTGGACACGAACGCCATTGTGAAAGGTGTGAGGTTAGACCGGCTGGGGGCGGAGGACGTCGTCACGATTAGAGAGGTACTTGAAGAGATTAGGGACCGTGAGGCTCGGCGAATGATTGCCACTCTGCCGTTCGATCTGCAGTGCCGAGAGCCGTCGGATGAATCTCTGCGTGAAGTGATGCGGTTTGCACGTCTGACAGGAGATCTGCACTCGTTGTCAGCCACTGACGTTAAGCTGATAGCACTTGCTCATACACTGGAAGTGGAGAGTCATGGCGCCGAACACCTGCACAAGACGCCACCTACCGTCCAGGTGCAGACCTCTCGAGCTCGTATTCCGGACCCTCCGGGATGGGGCAAGAACGTGCCTAATCTCAAAGACTGGGAGGCGATAGATGATGCAGCGGATGCTGCCCCATCTGCTGCTTCCGAGGCCAAACCATCTTCTTCTTCGCGCATATTGCCAACTAGGTCGTTATTTGCTGCTGCAGAAGACGATCCAGTCAACGAGAGAAGCCAGCCATCGCCATCGCCATCGCCATCGCCATGGGCATCGTCGTCAGATTGTGCAAGGATCGGCGATGGTGATGGTGGTGGTATCAGTCAGGGGACTGCTGTGACAGGGGGTGGATCTCCGTTCAATGTGAGTGCAGCAGCCGTTGGCAGCTGTAAGGAAGATTCTCCTGCTGCTCCTGCTTCTACTGATGCTGATAGCCGACAGCGGAATCGGGATCCCGATGTTGTTGAACAGATAGGAGCTGCGGATGGCAGCAGCAGAAATGAGGGGATGAGAGGGGTGGCAGCCGAGGTGGGGTCTCCATCCTCCTCGTCGTTGGGGGGAGAGGGGGCAGTGCGGACCGGGGTGGGGGGGGCGACGAAGGGGGGGGGGGGGGATTCGTCTGTGCGGAGAGATGGCGGGGTGGTGGATAATGAGAGTGAGAGTAAATTGGTTGATGGACATCCTGATGTCGAGGTAGATAACCCCGCGCAAGTCGGACCGCATAACCTGAACGGATTGATCATACGAGATGAAGATGGGGAGTGGGAACGTGCGGTCGGAAGGAGTACACGTAGAAAGTATGCCAAGCGCGCAGCGCGCGCTGCGGCGGAGTCCCGCGCTGCCGACGAGTCTCGCTCTGCTGACCTCAGCACTCCTGCTGTGATGATGGGCAGTAATCGGCCTGGCAGTGGGATGGGGGGAATGGGGGAGGGGATTACGGAGGAGGCGTCTTCTGCGCAAGTGGGCGGTAGTTGCGGGAATGGAGGAGGAGAGGAAGGCAAACTACGAGGAGGAGGAGGAGGAGGAGCACCAGCGCTTCTTGTAGGGGGGAAACAATCCTTGTCTCTGGACAGCTGCTTACAGAAGACGAATGCTGAATGCATCGGGCACGAGAGGGAGGAGGTGGAGGGTGAGAGCGCAACTCCGGATGATGTCGAAGCTGCATTGACGACTGCTGCAGCTGCAGATTCGTTTGCTAGGGTTTCTGCTGAAGTCGGTAGTGATGCTGACGACGACCATGAGAAGTGTTATGGCGATGGAGATGGCTATGGTGATGAGGAGGGGGAGGAAGAAGAGGGAGTGGTGAGCGGCGGGGATGGCAGCCAAGAGGGGGCGAGTGTTTCTGGCCACGATGATGAACTGTTTTGGGGGAGTGTTCATAGCGAAGCGGGGGGCGATGATGGGCACTCTTCTTATGCACAACCGCTGCTGTCATCCTTTCAGTCCTCTGTAGCTTGTATAACTTTGGATTTCTCCATGCAGAATGTCATCTTGCAGATGGGACTCAGACTGATTACAGTCGATGGGGTCAGGATCAAGCAGGTGCATCGATGGGCTCTGAAGTGCCATGCATGTGGACTGGTTACGTACGAGGTCACTCGACTTTTCTGTGCCAAGTGTGGGAATGGTGGGACCCTTAACAAGGTGTCTGTCACCGTCGGTCCCGATGGGACCACACACGTGGCTGTCAGACGGCGGATCAGTGTGCGGGGGACTAGGTATTCTTTGCCGTTACCAAAAGGCGGGCGTGAAGGTTCAGTGAAGAATCCTATTTTGAGAGAAGACCAGCTGCCGGAGAGATGCAGGTCGGCAGCCTCAAGGAGGAGTAAAAGTGGGGTTCCCGACGTATTTGCGCCGGAATATGGACCCGATACGTGGTTTCTAGGCGTGCATGGAAAGAAGAAAAAGCAGCCGCCCTCCGCCGTCCATCTCAAGAGTGTCGCCTCCATGCTCACCGGAAGACGCAACCCGAACGAGCGTCGTGTGGCGCGCAAACACTGATGAATCTGTGATGATTGATTGGGGATTGGGCAACGATGATTGGTTGGTCATCCCTCTTCAAATGTCGGGATTAATTAGCACGTCTGGGCTTTTTCGTCTCGTCATATACAGTATCATCGAACGAACAGGAGCATGCCACGTGGTACGTCAGGTTTGTAACGTGATCTTGTGTCGGGACTCAAATATTTTGAGTGCGACGCAACTGGTGACTACTGATCCGGACATCGTGGGATGTCGGGATCATTAGTGCGACCGGGTCTGCTGCTGTCATCGTATATCGTTGAACGAACAGGAATGTGCCACGTGGCACGTCAGTGTTTCCACGTCGTGAATGTGCCACGTGGCACTCGAAATGTGCCGCATGGCACGTCAGATCTGCCTCGTCAGGTTTTCCACGTCAGGAACGTGTCACGTCGCACTCGGAAAAATGCGCCACGTGGCACGTCTGACGTCAGTTTTTCGACGTTAAGAATGGGCCACGTGGCACTTCAAGAATGTTCCACGTGGCACGTCAGGTCTGCCGCGTCATCCTGTGTCGGGACTCCAAACAAATTTTGAGTGTCAACTGGGAATCCAAATTTTGAGTGCCACGTGGAAGTTGACGAAAGGATGAAGCCGCGGTGGATTGAGTGGGCGGCGGCGGGCGTTAGCTCTCAGCACTTCTCTTGATCGTTTTCTCAGTTTTTTTTTTTTTTTTTTTTGAGAGGTGAACGAATGTGGTGCAAGATCGCCGTCAAATCCATCCATTCGTATGTTGCCCGGGAATAGCGTTTCGTAGGGTTTTAGAAAATGAATTGTGGAATTGATGTCGGCTTCTCTATGGATGGATGGATCGGAGTACCAGCTTGTTGCTTTTGATCGCGATCCCTTTGTGTTGTCGGGGTCTCGTACTGCCGGGTGGGTCGGACATTGGATTTGTAGTTGTAGTCACATTGTTTTTTTTGCATAAAATATAGGGGTTGATGCATAAAATATAGGGGTTGATAATCTTTTTTTTTTTTGCATAAAATATAGGGGTTGATGCATAAAATATAGGGGTTGATAATCTTTTTTTTCCCCTTTGGTGGGGGGGGGCCGCGGAAAGGAAGAGCGGGGAAGGGGCCGAGGGTAGATAATCTCCACAGTTTCTGTCGTTGGAAGAGGGTACTTGTGTGCATCTACATAGGGGTTGATAATCTCTTTTTTTTGGGGGGGGGGGGGGGGGGGTTGCCGCTAGGGGCCGCAAGGGCCCAAGGGGTCGATAATCTCCACTTTCTGTCGCTGATGGTAGTTTGTGTTGGGTGGGGGGTGGTGGGGGTAGAGTTATCTCACAGTAGTTTGTGTTGTGGGGAGATTTTTCTGACAAGCATTCAGAAATGCTGTGTCATTAGGTGAGATTACGGGCCTCGTTCCACCGGTCACCGAACAAATGTGCAAAGTGAGAATGAATCTTCCGCTAGAACATGGAATGATACGTCGGTATAATTTTTGTCTTTTGTGCATGTGGTGAGTTGTGGAGCGAGGTTCTGCGAGTGTGACTCATGGTACGTGTTGTTGTCGTTTAAGCATGAGGAGCTCTCGCTGGCGGCTGTAGTTGGATGTTCTTGGTACTTATGGCAATGCTCCTGGACATAGTACCATGGTAGGGGGGGCAGGGAAGAATGGAAGGAGAGGGGCAGGTGGGGGAGAATAGGGGAAAGAGGAGGAAAAGGGGAGGGGATTGTGAGGGTAGGCGGTGGTGGAGGAGGGGGAGGAGGAGGGAAGGGGTCGAAGAGTGCGTCTTTGGCGGTATGTTGAGAGTCATTTGCGAATGCAGTCTCTGCCCCACATTTTGGCTGTTTCATTAGCACTCTCTTTTTTTTTTTTTTTTTTTTTTTGCCCCACTCGTTTTTGTGATTTCTGTGTTGTGGAAACCGTCCGTCGGTGTCGTGTTCTCTTCCTCATTTATCTTTTCTTTGTAAATGTTTCTCTTTTTTTCTTTTTTTTCCCCTTTTTCTTCCGCTTCTTCTTCCTCTCTTCCTCATTTTTCTTCTTTTTCTTTTTGTTCTTTTTCTGTCTTCTTCTCCTTCCTCTTCATCTTCCTTTGTCATCGTCGTCGTTAGACTCCTCTTTATTTATTTTTATTGTATCGTCCTCCTTTTTTTGTTTCTTTAAAAAGAAATTAGTTCTTGTCCTCCTCTTTATTTTTTTTTCCTTGTATCGTCCTTCTTTTTGTTTCTTTAGAAAGAAATTGGGCAATTTCTTGATTTATGCGTGTCAAATTTTCTTTCTTTTCTTTCTTCTTCTTCTTCTTCTTCTTCTTCTTCTTGTCGTCGTGATTGTCTTCCTCCTTTCTCCTCCTCCTTGTTCTCCTCCTCCTCCTCCTCCTCCTCCTCTTCTTCTTCTTCTTCTTCTTCGTTGTCATCGTTGTCCCCTCTTTTCCTCTCCTCCTACTACTCATTCTTTCGGTCGTGGCTGTACCTGCTGGACAGTGACTTCAGTGCCCCCATGGAACATGAGTCTGGGTATCCTTTGGCACTGACGAACAGACGCCAGGAAGGAGCTTTTTTTTTGAGTTTGTCTTTTAGATTAATTTGTGGTTTT